AATAGAATTTGTGTTTACTTTATACAAAAATATGTTACTTTCTTAGGATTTTCATGGATTCAGTTGTTCTTTGGATTTATCTGGAACAGTAGATGGTGTAATTAGATTACCAGTTGTCTATATTTCTTTAACTTTCCTTAAAAACCTTGAAGTTTTGCGGCTCTTTTGAAATTACGTGACCAGCCTGCATTGAAGTTAATTAGAATTGAGTGCCTGGCTCACTTTAACTAAGGTCCCTCATGAATCAACCGTTTAGATGCCAGTCAAGCAAACTGCTCTGATGGCCATGGGAGGTAGAGAATAAAACAGCCCATTTATTTAATTTTGCCCTTTCCTAGCCATTTCCTCCTACATAAAAGGTGTCGAAAAATTCCTCCTTGGTATTGAAGAATGGAGAAATATTTCTTTTGAATGATTAAATAATAATCACTAGAGAAAAGAAATGTTTTCCATCAAGCAGTTGAAAAGAGGCTTTTCTCAGAAGATATGCATTGCCACAGCATAACAAAGGCTAAACCTGTGTGCACTGACTGGGTAGAGTTTAAATATATACCAACTATAACCTTTTGAATATGAAGCAAATAACATATTTATCACGTGCCTATTATATGCTGGACACATCACAAATATACCATCTGATCCTCATGGACGACTTAGGGCCTAAGAGCTACTATTAGATCATTTTTATAGATTGGAGAAACAGAAACTTCACCACGGTAAGTAATTTTCAAGATCATATATCTGTACAGTGGTAAGTTTGAGAGCTAACAAGAGGGTAGTTTGTCTGGGAGTCTGTGGCAATCCGAATCCAAGGGAAGAAAGCTCACACCCTTATTTAGGAGCAGCTTATGGATCTAAGGCAAGGATCACAATTGGTGACAAGATTTGAGGTACTGGGGTGAAATAAGAGAGGAAATGATACCTCGCGGAGGACAGTACGTTGTCTGTGTGTACAGTGTGTGTGCATATACATATATATATATATATACTATATATATACTATATAAATATATGCACTACATACACATATATATATACTATATATATACTATATAAATATATGCACTACATACACTGTTTTAAAATATTTTAGTTTCCAGTTCCTATCTAACAAAATATTAAAGTAGAAGAATACCAGTGTGCGTAGCCATTCCCTTCTCCAGGGGATCTTCCCAACCCAGGGACGGACCCATGTCTCCTGCATCTCCTGCATTTCAGGCAGATTCCTAACTTCTTTACTGTCTGGCTCAGGAGAATCCCATGGACAGAGAAGCCTCGTGGGCTACAGTCCATGGGGTCACGGTCACAAAGAGTCGGACACGGCTGAATGACTAATACACTTCACACTATAGGGTCCAATTCACACATGAAAAATATTTTCCATTTAGTTTACTTCAAACTTCTACTTTAATATTTTGTTAGCTAGGAACTAGAAACTAAAATATTTTAAAATAGTGTAAACAATGTGAGTTTTCACTATAGCTCTTAGGTAAAGATTGTGAGTATGCTCAGTTAGGTCTGATTCTTTGCGACCCCACGGACTATAGCCCACCCGGCTCCTATGCCGATGGGATTTCCCAGGCAAGAATGCTGCAGTGGGTTGTCATTTCCTTTTCCAGGGATCCTCCCAAGCCAGGGACTGGACCCACATCTCTGGCATCTCCTGCAATGGCAGGTGGATTCTTTAGACCGCTGTGTCACCCGGGAAGCCTCTGAGATAAAAATTAAGCACCTAAAATCTGTCACACTCTGTGCTGGGACTGTGGATTTGTGATAAGGAAAACCTCTAGCCTTGTTGAGTTCACAGTCTGGGTTGTAGGAGGCTGAGCAGAGAAGGGCAGGGCTACTTCAACATACTCATTATGAATGAAGAAATGAAAAGCTGCAGAAAATTTGTTTTTGAGCCCTGAGCATAAAAGTACCAGAAATCTGAAAGTGGAATACAGATCTGTTAGCAAAGTGGAGAGGTTGTCGCCATGCAGCCGGCTGAGCAGAATCTAAAGTAGAGCTAATGGTTCCAGCCTGAATTGCTGAGAATGCCTAGGGTCAAGAGAGAACAAAGACTGTCTCAGAGCTAGAGAAGAGGTGTGTATTTAGCTCTCAACAAAAGTGGGGAGTGCCAGCTCAGGCAGTTTATAATGGGAAGAGAAGCACTTTATTTTTCAATTCAAACCACTGAATTGCTTGTGAATAAGAGAGAAAGAAAACAAAGCTATAAATGCCAGCTACGTCAAGTGTGTCTGCACCTCAACAACTAAGTAGAGATAGGCAATATTCAAATTGAACTTTGTAATTGCATCTCTTCTTGCAGGAGATCACAGGCTTATCTCCTTGTGTAGCAGTACATTTACTATTGGCAGAGATAAAATACACAAGCTTATAAGCAAAAATTAACTTCATACACCCATAATTTTTTGTTTTTTATGCTAAATGTATATCACCGTTACTGATAGTCATCCCTACTTAAAACAAGTCTTATTTTGGTCTTACTCTCTGAGGTAACAAATTGGTCAGCAGGCCAAATCTGACTCCAAAGAGACCTTCCATTTGTTCATGGTGTGTTTAGAAGGTAGGTCATGAATGACCACCTTTTCTGTCATCTGTTCTATTTCTCATCACTGTCTACTGTCTTATCCCAGATCTTATTCACACACTAACTTACGACCTGTCGCCCTGCAGTCGTTGGATTCTGTGGCACTTTAGTTACCACTGCCGGCGTTACTCGCTCAGTCGTGTCCGGCCCTTTGCGACTCCATGGACTCTGTCCGTGGGATTCTCCAGGCAAGAGTACTGGAGAGGGTTGTCATTTCCTTCTCCAGGGGATCTTCTTGACCCAGGGATCGAACCCGGGTGTCCCGCATTGCAGGCTGATCCTTCCCCATTTGACCCTAGGGAAGCCCAGTGGTTGCTAAGTAAGGATCAGCTTTCCTCTGCAGGGCAAAAGGTCCTGCACGGCATTAATGCAACGAGGCCAGAATGATTTTGGTTTTGAACATACACAATGAACCTAGTCATGACCAAGATACCCATTACATCACCACTTGAAAATGGAAATGGTTTACTTTTTCCCGGGTCAGGATAGCAGAACACTGAAGGGGAACACCCATGAGTTTATGGGGATTCCAGGTCACGGAGTCGGCCCTAGGTGATAAAATAACGCCCGTTAGTGCCCACAGTCTAAGGAGACAAAACAGAAGCCTGAAGAGGTTCTTCCACTTGCACAAGCAACGGCCCAGTTCTCACCTTTCAATGCCACTGAGTTTATAAGAATGGTTTCTGGACAACAGCAATCCACCTCCCCAAGCTGCCTACAATGGACACAGAGGATTTGTGTTTTTACATTAAAGATTTCTTTTTACATAGCACTGACTGCCCTTTCCTATGTTATATTTATTTCAAAAGTTGATGAAGATTTGATTGTTATGCTAGATAATTATAAACTTGGCTATAATTATCTCACTTAAAAGAACAATGCAAAAAAAAGAACAATGCATTTAAAATTTTCCTCCTATGAATTCTCATTGTCTATTCATGACATAGTAAAGCTTTAGGTTTCTATTGATAATTAATTCAGAGACACCTTCTGTATAATTTCCAGAGACAGAATTTTTTAAAAGTTGTCATCAGATTTGGCAATACTACAGAAAAATTAAAATATCTACCATATTATATAACTTTACATTTCTCCAACTCTAATCAAAGCCAAAGACATTTTTGCACAGTCATTGTACTAATAGCATCAAAAGTTTTGATTTCCATAACAGCTATTAATTAAGAAATATATATTAGAGTAAGGGGCTAAGTCTCTTTGATTTAAAATATTTAACTATTTCTTTATATTGATCTTCTAAATTGGTGGTTGAATATTGATAGGATTTAGACTCTTTAAAAAGTATATTGATACATATGTAGCTCTTTTTATGGCAGCGTATTTTATATTTTAAGGTAATTTATGCAAATGAGACTATTTTTTCTTGATTGAATAGTATAGAATATAGCATATAGAAATAGTATAGAATTCATTATAAAAATTAGAGTTACAGAGAAATTTTGGTCTTGCTTGTAATGTCAATTAAGAAATTATGAGGGCAGTTCACAGGTTACATTTTTTTAAAAAGGGAAATTATCAGCCAGACTCTAGGACGTGACTTACATCCACATGCATCCAGAGTTTGTGTATCTCACAAATATCTGCGATGTCATGGAGCGGGTCGAAGGCCCCGAACACGGTGCTGCCAGCTGTGGCCACAACACAGAAAGGAGTCCGGCCCTGGGATGACAAAAGCTGCATCGTTCCTACAGTCTCATGAGCCCATTGTTGTTTCGCCGCTAAGTCATTTTTGAATCTTGCGCGACCCCACGGACTGGAGCCCGCCAGACTCCTCTTTTCAGGGCCTCTCTCAGACAAGAGCAAGGAGCGGGCTGCCGTTTCCTCCTCCAGGAGCCGCTCCGACCCGGGACTGAGCGCGCGCCGCTTGCATCGCCCGCGGCTCTCGGCTGCTGACTGACCGCGGCTCTCCGCTGCTGACTGACCGGGGCTCTCGGCTGCTGACTGACCGCGGCTCTCCGCTGCTGACTGACCGGGGCTCTCNGGGTCTTCCCTGATCTCAGTCTTCGCAACGTTTCTTTCCGTCTTGGAGGCTGGTGTGGAAGAACCTGCTTGTCAGATGGTGATGAACAGGGAGGCCTGGCGCGCTGCGATTCATGGGGTCGCAAAGAGTCGGACACGACTGAGCGACTGAACTGAATTGAACTGAACAGTAATGGAAAAAGTAGCTTAAGCATAAGATGAACAAATATCACTGTCTCTGGGTCTCATTTATTGTTATTTCTCTCTGAATTTATTTTCAGAAAATCATACCACAACAATAAAGATGATCAAACTCCTTTAGTAGTAAATATTGGTGATAACTTTTCTTTTGATATTTAACAGAAACAAAATGATCAGGGGAGCATTGCAATGTCATTTAATTCCCTTACTTCAGCTTTAGAAGAAATTTCCTGCATTTTGAGATTATTTTCTGTAGCAATTCTCTTCAGTTTCTTGCCACTAATGAAAGTCAGTAAAGAAAATAAAGGTGCATCTGCAAGTTAAATATGGAACTTCAGAGCTTACCTTTCTTTTAGCTTGTAATATATTTTTCTCTAACTCAGCTGGAATCATCTTTCCCCTTAAAAAACAAATACACATTGTTTTCTTATGAGTGAATAAACATATCGATTCTACCAATTAGAAGAATTAGTAATATTCAAGATTAAAAAATTAGTTCTTAATGTCTCCCAAAGGCATTTATAGGTGTAAAAGAAAGTGTTAAGCTGTTCCGTAAAACCAAGGTAAAATATCATGTTATTTGAGTTAAAGGAAGTTGAGTTTACTATTTAATCATCTTAAAAACTACATTATTTACATATCAGAAGATTCTGATTTTTCTAAGATACACAATGGTTTTCTTCCTTCCTTCTTTTCTTTTTTCCTTTCTTTCTCTAATGATTAACCTTTAATTATAAAGACTTCTTAGGCTTTCCTGATAGCTCAGTTGGTGAAGAATCCACCTGCAACGTGGGAGACCCCAGTGGTTTGACTCCTGGGTCAGGAAGATCCCCTGGAGAAGGGATAGGTTATCCATTCCAGTATTCTTGGGTTTCCCTGGTGGCTCAGCCGGTAAAGAATCCACCTGCAATGTGGGAGACCTGGGTTCGACCCCTGGATTGGGAAGATTCCCTGGAGAAGGGAACAGCTACCCACTCCAGTATTCTGGCCTGGAGAATTCCATGGACTGTATAGTCCATGGGGTTGCAAAGAGTCGGACATGACTGAGCAACTTTCACTTTCACTTTCATGAAGATTTCATGGCATTAAGGTAGAAAAATCAAAGATAGAAATTGGTGAGGGGAATGTGGCAAAAATTCAGGTGGTCTCACATTTTTCTTCACAGCAAATTTCTGGGACAAAAAAACAAAAGCCAGTATTTTTCTGCTCCATCCAGTTATCAGACTAAAACACAGTCTACTGTTAATTCACTAGAAGCATTCCTCTTAAAGTTCAGAATCAAATAAGAATGCCTACTACCATCAATATTATAGCATTTTTTTCTGAAGAAATACCTGTTATCTAGGGAGGTAATTATGATGATAATAGATGATAGATAGATAGAAATGAAAATAAGAAAAATTCCTCATTTAAGTACATATGGTTGTATACCTGGAGTACCTAGCATTGTTTATTGAAAAACTTTTGAAAACTATAAAAATGTTGAGCAATGGGAGGGTTACAACAGTAAAGTAGGTTCCTAATTTTTTAAAACTAATTGTTCTGAATAAACACAGAACATATCCTATTCCTAGTAGTAAAAACAGATATAAAATATCTGGGAAAGAGATTCTCAGCAAATGTACACAGTTTATATAAAGAAAACCAAACAACTTGAAATAAGTATAGAATGACAAATTTATAAAGCATGTTTGCAAAATATTTTATATTCATATATTTTGCATTTCAAAACATCTCAATATATAAATATTTTTACAAGCCAATAAATAATAAACTACCAATAAACAATTGGCAAATGAAAATGAACAGATATATTATGGTAACACACAGCTGGTTGGTCAGTATACTAGACATATATAGTTCTAAACAACTAAAGGTCATCTTCATCTATCAGAATTTTCAAGTACAGTAGCATTGATAATATTCAAGCTTCTCTCAGTAGATAAGCGTCAGTTAACTCAAAAATATTTGAAGAGCAAATGAAAATATATATGACATTTAAGTGCAGACAATCTTTGAACCTGTAATTTAACTTCTAGGGATTCATGTGAGAAATATTCAAACACAGACACTCAAGTATACTTGTATAAGTATATTCATTAAATCAGGGCTTCCCAGGTGCTGTGAGCAGTAAAGAATCCACCTGCCAATGTAGGAGACCCAAAAGACTCAGATTCAATCTCTGGGTCGGGAAGATCTCCTAGAGAGGAAATGGCAACCCACTCCAGTATTCTTGCCTGGAAAATTCCACGGACAGAGGAACCTGGAAGGTCCATGGGGTCACAAAGAGTCAGACACGACTGAGTGCACACACATACACACACACACATTCATTTAATCATTGCCTTTATATACTAAAATCTATGTGAAAATCTTTTAAATAAGATGTGTGAAATTAAATTTACAAAATGGGAAACTCCAAAGTAATTAAAAAAGAATAAGGAAAGTCTGTATAAATGCACAGGTTAAGATTTCTAAGATATATTCTAAAGCCAAAAATGTTAAAAAAATAAGTTGCAGATTGTAACACAGAATTTGATATGTATAAATATATTTAATATGCATCAAAATGATCTTCCAGAACATATGTATAATATAGTTTATTCATGAAAAGTAAGATTCAAGAGAAATGGAAATGTATTTTCACTCTGTAGATTTGTGATGCAACTGAATTTCTCACCTCCAAACATCATTATATTGCTACTTCAATATACTTAAAACAAAGAGAAGGTATGTGACTCTCTCACTTGTATACGACTACATTCAGTAAAGAAATCTTAACAATAGGATAGGATAACTTTGGTGCTTCTTTCTAGTTAAAATTATTGAAACTAATCTGGGAAAGTATTCTTGCTAAAAATTGGGATAATAGAAAAATGGGATTTTAATCTTTATATGAAGCATAATGATAATACAAATCTTGAGAATGTGTTAAGAAACATACCTTTCATCACATTTTACTTCAATTACATTATCCGTTCCAATACCAAGGGTTGCTGCAGCTTTTTTTATGGAATAATGACCCTTGGGCAAAAATGAAAACAGGAAAGGCATTAATTTTCCTGCCTTAAATCATCACTTACACTAGTGCATCACTCAAATTAGGCCATATATGCATACCTCTGAATGGATCTGTGCATACACACACACACACACACACACACACACATATAGAAGTGTAGTTCTCAAGGCATACTTCCAGACCCTTATCATGACATTAGTTGAGATGAAGAAGGAAGCACCTCTTTCTAGGAGGCACTGTCACTCAGCACAACACTTTAAATGCAGGAGTTTGAATATTCTTATTCTGGTTTTCTGTATCCACATGAATCGTGTCACTTATAAATTTAGTGACAATATCCTCCAGGTAAGTCCTTACATGCTATGGACAGCTTTAAGTCTTGAATTTCCAATTTTTTTTGTTTTTTTAAAGAGAGGCTTGAAAAAGTGAATCAATTTTTCCTCTGCTTGTAGTTTTTAATTTTGATTTTGATATCAACTTTGATTTCTTGCCTTCTGGGTAACCACTATCTCGTGGCATAATTTACATAATATAAACAGAATCAGTAAGATGGAGGTGACAGCTCAAAGAGAAACTTCCTGGGTTATTTTTAGTTGCCTGGAAAAGACCACATACATGAGAGAGAAGAGAAATTTAAAACCCTTACCATGTTTTCATTTCAACAGAGAATATCAATACATACATTAAATAAGAAATGATTTTTTTAAGAAAATCTACATTATGGGATTTCAGCTTATTTGCTCATAATATTGAAAAAGTATATGTCAAATGATGAAAATGACATTTGTAAACAAGTATCTTTGATTGTATTGTTTTATAGTAAAATACATTAAGTATGCAGCGGAAGGACTCAGTGGTAAAGAATCTGCCTGCCAATGCAGGAGACTCTGGTTCAATCCCTGGATCAGGACGATCCCCTTGAGAAGGAAATGGCAACCCACTCCAGTATTCTTGCCTGGGAAATCCCATGGACGGAGGAGCCTGGTGGGCTACAGTCCATGGGGTCACAAAAGAGTCAGATAAAACTTAGCCACTAAACAAAAACAACAATGCAGCAATGGCCCCAATTTGATAATATGTATTTATGTAATGCTAGTTTGAGTTTAGTAAAGGCAGAACATTGCAGACATAGGGACATTTTTAGAAAATCCAGTGTTTCCAAGTACTTTTAGCTATAATTCTCAAGCTGTGACTTCAATTACACTTTAAGATTATAAATGTTACCACAGTGGAAAAGAAAAAGTGATCAGATTTATCAGAGGGGTTAATTGATTTTTTTAAATGAAGTTTTGATACTATACAGAGTCAGAACATGAAAGTTAAAGGAGACCTCAGTGGATCTATTGTCAATTTCATAAACATTTAGCTGAGGGCATATAAAACAAAGCTTTCTCTTCAACCAACTTCTTCAGGCTTAACTGGAAAAAGAACATTAGTCACTTTCTTGTTCTCTTCATGCAATGTTAAAAAGAAGCATTAAATATTTGAAATTTTTATGCCTTAATTTTTTTTTTTGGTAAAGGTAGCAGAATGTTTTACATTTATAGTCATATCTTTTTTTCTATTAGTTTCTCCTAAGTTGAAATAAAATTTTTCCCGAATTATTTGTATTGCTAATCTATATAGTCTGTATAGACTGGAAAGTTGTTTTTCTCCTTTCTAATATCAATATATAGATCCAAAAAGAGATTACATAGTATTTTTAACATAAAAATGAAGCTAATATTCTCAATGTTTAAATTACTTTATCAGTATATCTTAGAAGATTCTTAAATCTTAGAAAAATCTAAACTTGATACTTACTTGTTCAGAAACAAACAATACAATTCGTGGAAGGACTGTCATGCCTTTTGCTTTTATCTCTGGAAATTGCTTATAACGAGCTACTAATATACCATAGAGGTTTGATATACTCCCACCTATGGAAGAGAAATTGTGACTGTTAATCCAATTTCAAAAATCAGAAATGTTGATTGAGACGATTTGAGAGTTTTCGGAAACTAAAATGGTGCCAAATTACTGATGTCATTTTTAAAATAGTCTTCCTTGAAAGTATTAAGAGAAATCACGAACAACAGAATCCACAACTTCTAGATTTCAAAAAAGTTTGTTTATGATTATAACCAACAATATGGCTTATGAACATGCAAATTAATTGAATGACTCAAAAACAACCATATTAATTGAACTACATTTTGACTGTCTCCTATTATTTTTTTTCACTTATAAACCTTTTTCTTACCAGGCGAAAATATTCCATCTGCTTCTGCTTCTCTCCAGCCAATAATTTCACACATTTTCTTAAGAAGAACTGCTTCCATGACAGTAAATACTGGAGCTATTTCATAGGTAAACCTATAATGCATGCATAGAAATTCCACTGTGAATCATGTTACATGAAAGAGGATAAATAAAATCATGTGCTAGGTAAGGTTATATACGCTTTTGTATTCTACAACAGACTGTGCAAGAAATGGTTAAATTTTATATGTTCTTGTCCCTCATCAAGAGTATGTGAGTTCTACAAAGTGTCATGGCTTCCATTGTTTTGTGCAGTACCTGAGAATTTCATTTGCCACCAAAAGGAAATTGAAAGTAGCCCCATCCCCTCAGCACACACACAACACTGTTAGGGACAGAAAATGCCCAGTTATCAATAAAATGTATACACATTTCCTGAGGGTCAACACATTTACAGCTACAGATAATGATTTGCAGAATAAGAAAGCACTTCTTCTAAAAACGGATGGATAAATGTTTTCTAGCTAAAGATTGTACTATGAGCAAACACATCAAAAAAAAAAAAAAAGGCTAAAATCTGTTGTTTCCAATAACAGCAAGTAGATGGTACAGGCAAGAACACCTCATCGAAAAGAATTCAAAGAAGACTGTTGTGGGGGGCTCTCCTCTGAGTCACCCTGTGAAATCAGCTCTACATAAAGGAGTTGAGATTAAAACAGAGGCTCAATGCTTTTCTCTATAAACACCAAAATGCAATAAATAATAATGGATGTACTAAGGACACCCAAATCAAACAGTGGGTCCAGTTATTCTCAAGAAATCCTTGCTGTTTGTCTTCAAAACAATTTTAAAGACCCTTTAAGTGGAGCTCCACGAGGATCCCGGAACCAGGCACCAGCTCTGCGCCACCGCAGAGGCGCTCAGCTTTCGCCTTCTCAGGCCCTGGGGCGTGACTCAGGCCCAGCCTCCATGACCACGTTCACCCACAAGACGATAGAGAATCACACACTTGTGGTCCCTAACCTTCAGCCCTGGGACTTCCTTTTGCCCTTAGCGTGACAAGTCATGGGATCAGCTGGGAGTCCCAAGAATGCCCAGTGACGATGTGTGGGGAACGTAACATCCCATTGCTTAGTCCTTTGGTCATAAGAGACGTGGTGGAGAATAAATTTGTTCCCTTGCTCCCGACAGAGGGCCTGATGGTAGAAGCAGATCTCTACAGGGGGGTATACATCCCCGGAGACCATGCACTCGCTTCTGCTTATTCTAAGGGGTAGCCAGGTCTAAAAGACCCCTCGAGTTACCCTCTGCCTTGTCCTGACTCCCTTCATTCCCCCTCATTCCTGCTACCCTGGATCGCACGCCCTCATAAGTGATAATACATAAGCTCTGGCCCAGGGCTCTGTACAAAAACCCAGACTAAGAAAACCCACTGCCTATTAGAATTAAGCTTCTGGTTCTAAGAGGAACAAGCTTACAAAGCAAGCCTTACAGACTTCTCTTTCAATGAGGCTCGTTTCTGCCAGCGCTTTGGCAATTTCAGCTTCTCACAAACATTACTTTTTGATCCTATTTCAATTCCATGGAGTAGACATTATTATTTTCAGACAACAGTCAGTCAGTCAGTTCAGTCGCTCAGTCATGACCGACTCTTTGCGACCCCATGGACCGCAACACACCAGGCCTCCCTGTCCATCACCAACTCCTGGAGTTTACCCAAATTCATGTCCTTTGAGTCAGTGATGCCATCCAACCATCTGTTCCTCTGTCGTCCCCTTCTCCTCCTGCCCTCAATCTTTCCCCAGCATCAAGGTCTTTTCCAATGAGTCATCTCTGCATTAGGTGGCCAAATTATTGGAGCTTCAGCTTCAGCATCTGTTCTTTCAAAGAGTATTCAGGGTTTATTTCCTTTAGGATTGACTGGTTTGATCTCCTTGCTGTCCAATGTACTCTCAAGAGTCTTCTGCAACACTGTAATTTTTTTTTTTTTTCCACTTTAATTATATTTTTACTTGAAGGATAATTGCTTTACAGAATTTTTTGGTTTTCTATCAGACATCAACAAAAATCAGCCATAGGTACACCCATATCCCCTCCCTCCCAACCCGAACCTCCCTTACATTTCCCTCCCCACCCCACCCTTCTAGATTGTCATAGAGCCCCTGTTTGTGTTCCTTGAGTGATACAGCAGATTCCCATTGGCTATCTATTTTACAAATGGTATTGTAAGTTTCCAGGTTACTCTCTCCATACATCTCACCCTCTCCCTCCTCCCCTCCTCCCCACGTCCGTTGGTCTGTTCTCTATGTGTTTCTCCATGCTATCCTGAAAATAAATTCGTCAAAACCATCTTTATAGATTCCATATATATGCATCAGTATACAATATTTATATTTCTCTTTCAGACTTACTTCACTCTGTATTATAGACTCCTGGTTTGTCTACCTCATTAGAACTGACTCAAATGTGTTCCTTTTTATGGCTGAGTAGTATTCCACTGTATATATGTACCACAGCTTCTTTATCCATTCATCTGCTGATGACCGTCTAGGTTGCTTCCANTGCTTCTGTTAGGTCCATACCATTTCTGTCCTTTATTGTGCCCATCTTTGCATGAAATGCTCCCTTGGTATCTCTAATTTTCTTGAAGAGATCTCTAGTCTTTCCCATTCTATTGTTTTCCTCTGTTTCTTTACATTGATCACTGAGGAAGGCTTTCTTATCTCTCCTTGCTCTTCTCTGGAACTCTGCATTCAAATGCGTATATCTTTCCTTTTCTCCTTTGCCTTTCACTTCTCTTCTTTTCTCAGCTATTTTTGAGGCCTCCTCAGACAACCATTTTGCCTTTTTACATTTCTTTTCCTTGGAGATAGTCTTGATCCCTGCCTCCTGTACAATGTCACGAACCTCCATCCATAGTTCTTCAGGCACTGTCTATCAGATCTAATCCCTTGAATCTATTTCTCACTTCCACTGTATAATCGGAAGGGATTTGATTTAGGTAATACCTGAATGGTCTAGTGGTTTTCCCTACTTTCTTCAGTTTAAGTCTGAATTTGGCAATAATGAGTTCATGACCTGAGCCACAGTCAGCTCTCGGTCTTGTTTTTGCTGATCAGAGACCATTAAAGGGTAGAGTTAGGACTTAAATTTGGTTCTTCCTTTAATTCCATCTCACATGCTTTTCTATTATCTCACTTTATGGTTGGGATTCCCACATGGCTCCAGGGGCAAAGCACCCACATGCTAATGCAGGGCATGCAAGAGACAAAGGTTCGGTCCCTGTGTCAGGAAGATCCTCTAAAGGAGGAAATGGCAACGCATGCCAGTATTCTTGCCTGGACAATGCCATGGACTGAGGAGCCTGGAGAACTGTAGTCCAAAGAGTTGGATACAACTGTAGTGACTTAGCATGTGTGCACACATCTGTTGACTGAAGTAAGAAAAATTCAGAGGTACAGAAACTTCTCTTAAATCCTTTCTCTTTGCGTTTCTCCTACTATTTCTCTATTTAAACCAAAAATCTATATTTTCTTCATACAGAGAATGATTGTTTCATAGCAATAGGATTCCAAATAATGGAGTAAGATTTGTAAAATGATTTTTATGTAATAATTTATATAAAATTCATCACATTTTATATATCACAAATGATATAGGTTCTTTAAGGGTCTCTTGCATTGCAGGTGGATTCTTTACCAACTGAGCTATCAGAGAAGCTCCCAAAAGTGTTACTCTATGTGTATTCAAATAAAGGGCTACAATCAAGCAATGAAAATTAAAACTAGCAATAAACTATGTAGCTTGTTTTTCTATGCATTTCGCATTTATAAAACCCTGTGCACCATTAAGATCCCAATACAACTAAACAGTTAAAGTAAACCACAGCTTTCCTACACAGTAAAGAGTCACTTCTCATAAATGTTTAGTTTCTGGTTTTAAAGTTTAAATTTCTACCAGCTATCTCTTTTGATTGTAGTTAAATTATATTAACATCTGAGACAGAGTATTCCTTCCAATTTCATAACCAATCATTTCCCTATCCCTTCAAACTTGAAATATATTGCCCTAAAATTAATTTTACTTCAAAACATTATAGCAGTGTTATCTCATTTTCATATAACTGAAAGTTTTGCTGTGGCAAAGGTCAAAACTTTTAAGGAATCATATTGGAATTCGATTTAACTTTAATAGTTTACTTTCTTCACCTTCGGGCAGATTGAAGTTCTAATTAATATTCAGGCAGCTTTTCATTCACTAGTGTGTGCCATCTTTGGACTCTGTGCTCTGGGCTGTTTTGCATAGTATTGCAGTGATTTCAGTCCTGGAGCTGGACTCCCAGTCTGCACACTAATAACTCAGACTAATCAACTGAACTTTACTGTTTACCAGGAAATTCAGCTCCTGCAAGTTTCTAGAGAGGAGAGACAGTCCAGAAGAGCAGTTAAAATGTCCCCCAGGGAACAGGAACCATCTTCTTTGCATTTCTCTCTGGTATCACCTATTTGTTTCTGATAGAGCAAACATCCTGTCCAGCAAAACAGAACTTCAGCAACTGACACCTTCACTCTTGCTCACGTGCCGCACAGTCTCACGCTCCTTAGATCCAGAAGGATACTCACATGTTGGTATTTGCAGTGGCTGTTAACCATTCCCCTGCGAGTCCAATCACATCTAGCCCACTGGAGAGCTGGTTAAAATAGCGAGGATGTCCTTGAAAAAAAGACAAAATTGCACATGGGTCAAATTTCAGCACAGGGCTGAAATGTGGTTAATTGTTATAGCAGTTTCTCAGTGAACAGGTATTATGGATCAAGCACAGCATTTCATTCAGTGAACACTCCTGAGCGATTATCATGTGCTGGGAGTGCTCTGGGTGTTAGGGCCCAGTGGTCATACAGGGTGGACATAGCCGCTACCATGGGGATCTCACTTACTATTGAAAGAAGGAGATAATCAAGCAATGACACAAATATATTTAAGTACAGTAAAAAGCAAAAATTATGAAGCAAAGGATCAGGATGTTATAAGACCATTTCTAAGGGGTCAGGAGTAGGTGAGGCAGTCTCCAGAGAAGGCTTTTGGAGGAAATGATCTTTCAGGGAAGATCTTAAGTTTATCTCCAAACAGTGGAGGAGGAGGAGCAGCTGTGAGAAGGCACCAAAACGAGAAAGGGCTCAAACACCAGAGTGAGGAACCCAACTGGAGCAGAAAGACCTCGGGTGGCTGTGGGGAGCCACCTCAGTGAATGGGGAAAGATCACCTGGAAGATGAAATAATTTTCCCTCCAAAGCTGCATATACATTTTTTGGATGAAATATCAGGTCCCCAGAGATTATCATACTAAGCAAAATAAGTCAGAGAAAGGCAAACACCATGTGAGAGTTGGACCATAAAAATGACTGAGCGCCAAAGAATTGATGCTTTTGAACTGTGGTGTTGGAGAAGACTCTTGAGAGTCCCGTGGACTGCAAGGAGATCCAACCAGTCCATCCTAAAGGAGATCAGTCCTGAGTGTTCATTGGAAGGACTGATGCTGAAGCTGAAACTCCAATACTTTGGCCACCTGATGCAAAGAGCCAATGCATTGGAAAAGGCTCTGATGCTGGCAAAGATTGAGAGCAGGAGGAGAAGGGGGCGACAGAAGATGAGATAGTTAGACAGCATCAGCGACTCAGTGAACATGTATTTGAGCAAACTCCAGAAGACAATCGAGGACAGAAGGGCCTGGCTGCAGCCCATGGGATCACAGAGTCAGATACAACTTAGAGGCTGAACAACAAATATGTAGAATCCAAAATACTACACAAATAAACTTATCTACAAAACAGGAACAGAATCACAAACATAGATAACAGACTTGGGATTGGCAAGGAGGAGAGGGGTGGAGGATGAACTGGTTTGGGAGTTTGGGGTTAGCAGATGGAAGCTGTTACATGTAGGATGGATAAACAGCAAGGTCCTAGTGTAAGCACAGGATATTCAATATCCTGTAAGAAACCATAATGGAAAAGAATTTTTTTTAAATACAGGCAGCAAAAAAAGATAAATAATTTCAACTATAAGAATATCAAGTTCCTCTTATAATGATTTTTTGAAATTTTATATTAAGGAAGAATCACCAAAAACTTCTTGTGAAATTGAACAATCTATATTCAGCTCAGTTTAAATTAAGCTTCTCCTCCTTAGCTCCACAATGGATTGTTCTGTGCACTTGTTTTACACTCTATCTTAAAGATAATGTGTGTGATAGCTCTTTGTGAATCTCTGTTTTGCCTCTAGAATTTTGTTCAAATATCGTTTGCTCCTGGAAGTACCACTGTTTTAAGAGATTAAGAATTAAGTTATAATAATGTTATTTTAATCAGAAAACACTTTCTAAAATATAGGCTGCATATATAATACATATATCTAATTTTAGCATTCTATATTTTATTGATGTACAGAGATAATAAATCAAGCATCCAGTAATGAATATGATCAAATAAAGCAAAAAATGAAAAAGGTAAATAAAAACTGTATGTTATTTGCCATTGGGATATATGCCTCCAAACCAAAATCATTTTGTTAACTTTCTTTGTTAATTAATAAACAATTCATATATGAAAATACCAATTTAAAATAAATTAGGCAAATGTTTTAAATAAAAATGAATGAAATTGGGATATGTTTCAATGCAAATGTACACTCAAGGCTACTCATTCAGTCTCCAGTTCAGGCAAACAAATTTGAAAATTACCTGTTTTAACACCATATTTTAAGGTGTCTGTGCAATCAACAAGCAACTGCTCCAGAGATTCAGGATGGTCAGACAGTTCTAAGTCAAACCCATCCAAACCTTCAAGAAGTTGATGAGGATGATGAAAGTCCAATATTTTACTCTTAACATCGAAAGTTTTCTCAATGTAGTGCAGAAGAATATTTACCACTCGCAGCAGAAAACATTTTGTTAAATCTTTGCCCTCCTTGGATGGCAACAAATCTAGAGAAAAAAAGAAATAAACAACAAGGTTTGTATCTAAAGAGTCAAAGAAACTCACTATCAGATAGAATTTGATCATAGGAAATTAAAGATATTTGAAGGCCATGTCAAATAGTAAATAAAGCAGCATTTGTCCAAATCCTACAAATAGTTTTCATTTGCAGTCCCACTGGATAACAATTTTCACCAAAAAGTAAGCCACTTTGGGTTAACGCCATTAAAGTAATTGGTCCTTTAAGCTCTACCAGGTGGTCCTTATTTGACTGTCATCAAAAATGAGCTGGTAAGCTGTACTTTTAAAAATCAGTTAAAGTATACTTATAACAGTCAGTCTGTAGATCTTAAGAAAATCAAAATTACTTCAATAAATATGTAGATAACATAGAATTTTATAAAAGAATAAAACAAATAACATTTGTTAATAGTATCCATACCTGAAGCATAAGCATTTGATAAATTAGTCATTAAATTCTCAGTGTGAGTTTCTTTTATCACATCTTTGTCAGTTGATTGACAAGAATGAATGGATTTTTTTCTCATCTGTTTCCTATCTAAGTTGAGAAAGAAAATATTTGTAATTATTAAAACATGCTAATAGGATGTACTACTGTAATCAAATCTGTAACCAAATAGATGCCTCGAAAAAACTCATAATATTTGAAATTTTTATTTACACGTGACCTCTGGTGGAGAGGGATAAACTGGAGAGAAGCATGAATTCTACTGAAATTATGTAAGGTTCTTTTATCACCACACAGAAAGCAATGATACAACTCTTATATGTTAGCTTCATATCAGCTTAGCATAGAGGATTATTAATTTAATAATAAAGACCTATCATAAAATAAAGTGAGTGTTAGTCACTCACTCTGCCTCTTTGCGGCCCCGTGGACTGGAGCCCACCAAGAATTCTCCAGGCAAGAATGCTGGAGTGAATTGCCATTCCCTTCTCCAAGGGATCTTCCCAGCCCAGGGACTGAACCCTGGTTTCCTACATTGCAACTTGACTCTTTACCGTCTGAGACACCAGGGAAGATCTGCTGCCTTTAACTATAAATAGCAACGCCTGCTGCAGGGTAAGATCCTTCAGTGCCTTGCATGTGTATTAACATTTAAGCATATATAACCATATCTACTGCATATTAAGAGTCCTAAGTTCTATGCACACAATTTGATACTCACTGTAACCATACAATATAGGAACATTTCCAAGTAAGTAGATAAACAGATTTAAAGTTAAGGAATAGTAATAAACTGACTCTTGTTGAGCACTTATCATGACCCAGGCACTGTTATAAGTACTTCACATGTATCATTCTATTCAATCCTCATAATATAGGCTTATGATATAGATACTATTATTAACAAAAATAGCTTTATATATGGTTGGACTGGAATTTACAGACAAGTGTTTGAATACAAAGATCAATAAGCCTTTAAAATATCATTATCCTCTTTAAAATTCAATATTTGAAAATAATAAGTCAGAGTCTTCTTCAATAAAAGTGTTAAACCAAATATCCCATCAAGCAAGCTATTTCATTGTTAAATATCATTTCATGTCCTAAACAATGTAGGAGAAAAAAGAAAGTACAAACTGTAATTTATAAAATCTACTTGCTTACCAATAGTTATAAAGAAAAAACACGAAGTAATCAGAAAATGCCCTGGAGAAGGAAATGGCAAGCCGCTCCAGTATTTTTGCCTGGGAAATCCCATGGACAGAGTAGCCTGGTGGCCTACAGTCCATGGGGTCGCAAAGAGTCAGACACGACTTAGCAACTAAAAGACAACAGCGAATCAGAAAACGGTGTATGGCTAAATTTTGTAGCTTCTATTTTGTAAGCTTAGTAGTATTGTTTCAAGTTCTAATGGATTTTTCTTAAAATAAAATATGCTATTCCTCTATACAATCCAGATTGCATTTGTTAAAACTGCAGCAAGATTAATTTGGTTTAACTTTTAAGCACTGATACATTTATCAGTTTATAAAACAGAGCATTTTAAATGTTTATGTACAGCAGACAAAAGTATTTCAGTATAGCTTTCTCTGTAAATAAAATCCTAATACATGAGAAAATTGCACATAAGAAAAGACACCATAGATTACAGAAATGTGAGATGATTTTGCAGAGAATTCAGTGTACTTAAAAACAGATTTTCATACTACATGGTGATCCAGTAGACATATATTAATACATTGTATAATTTTTTTTTCTAGAGGAAAATTGCTTTTTCCAAGTTTCAGTGCTATAAACAATGAGTAATAATTGATAATAAATAAATTTTAAAGTACTAAAGCTTTATATGCATCACTTCTTATAAATAGTGGAAACAAAAATCACAAGAAAAGTGAAATAAAAAAATTCTATACATGAAAGAGTATTACAGAACATTTATTAAAAAGTTAGTAGCAACTAAAAGATTTGATATTGTGGAATAAGAATTATACTCCATTAATAGTTCAACTACACATTGGCTCTACAACCTGAAACTAAATTAATACTTAATAACAAAATGCTTGCTTTAAATGCATAAGACAAAGATTGCTAATATGCTCTGTCAAATTATGTTAATAACTAATAATCATAGAAAATAAGCAAGACTTGAGACTCTGAACTTTTAATTATCACTTTTCCTCACAAAATTTCAACTTACTTGCCAGGCTATATCCACACTCCTTGAGGTCCATGTACAGTGAAAAAAATAATACCTACTTTAAGAGAATTCTGCAGCCAGAGTGCACTTTTAATGTAACAGAAAGAACTTGACTATTAAAGATGAGGAACTGCTGTAATTTATAAGGGGCCCTTTCAAGGTCTTTTTTTTTTTTTTTTTGATGGCATAGAAATTTGGAGCAATTCCATTATTTGTAAAACAGGCCACAATACAATGCTCTTATTTGTTTAGAGAATTTACTAGGAGCATTGTATGGAAGGGTTAGTCGCTCAGTGGTGCCCAACTCTTTGCAACCTCATGGACTGTAGCCTGCCAGGCTCCTCTATTCATGGGGTGCTCCAGGCAAGAACACTGGAGTGAGTTGCCATTTTCTTCTCCAGGAAATCTTCCCAACCCAGGGATCAAACCCAGGTCTCCTTTGCAGGTGGATTCTTTACTGTCTGAGTTACCAGAGAAGTTATTATTGTATGTATCAGTGTTTAAACATAACTTGCTTTTTAAAAGTATGATTTACTGGAAAAAAAGTGAATTTCAACTTCCCTTTAACAATTAGAACTTTTATCTATAGATCGATAGGTATGTTAGGTATATTAACATTCTAGGGTACAAACAAAAATAGCACATGGGCATATTAATAGTATAATTCACATGTTTGTAATACAGGAATTATTTTCTACTTTTGGATTGAAAATTCTAAAATAATCCAAAAATACATAATGATCGTCATTTCTGAGTCCCATTTCCAGGTGAACCTTTTCTCAAGAATTTATCAACTAGTCCCTTGGAATTTACAACTATTAAATAACGCGGTGGTCAACATTGCTATTTTTTTAAATTAAGCATCTTTAGGGCATGCTAATGAAAGAACATGAAAAGATGCTGCTGCTGCTGCTAAGTTGGGTGGTTCACAAAACAGAAGGACCTGGAAATATGTTAGCTTCTCTTCTGTGCGTTTGGTGCAGTCTATAAAAAGATTCAGTGATGTCCAATTCACTCTGATAATGATAGGAGGAAAAACGAGGGTTGTCAAAAGCCACTGACAAATTTCAACCTAATCTGGACCCATTTTTACAATATTATCCTCATCAAGGAGTTCACTAGAGCCTCTAACAAATAAAGAAAAAACATATTGGATGATTTGAAGACCATTCTGTGTCTTTCTTTGTCCTTTCATTGCTTCCCAGTAGAACTGATTGATGACTGGGAAGTGACATAGAAGGGGGGAAAAAAGAAAAAATTAGCTTCACGGAGTCCATAGCTGCTTTTCCATTTCCTTCAACGATCGACAAACCTTCCTTGCGCTATTAGCGTCGCCCCATCCACTGTGCGGTGCGAAGCCGCTTCCATCCTGTCCGACTCTGTGCGACCCCGTGGATGTAGCCCACCAGGCTCCTCCGTCCATGGGATTCTCCAGGCAAGAAAACGGAGTGGGTTGCCGTTTCCCCCTCCAGGGGATCTTCCCGGCCCAGAGATCAAACCCAGGTCTCTTAAGTCTCCCTGCATGGGCAGGCGGGTTCTTTACCGCTGGTGTCACAACATCCGCCAGGGAAGATTATCTCATTATCTTCACTCGGAGAAGATCCACTCTGCTCTTGACTCCTGGACACCCGCTCATTTCCGTTAATAAAACCGCCTCTGTGCCTGCCGGCCTACGCAGCGCCTCTCACCTTCCTCCTCCTCATCTCACCTTCCTCCTCCTCATCTCACCTTCCTCCTCCTCATCTCACCTTCCTCCTCCTCATCTCACCTTCCTCCTCCTCATCTCACCTCCTCCTCCCCACGCGCTGTATCCACCCGCACTCAGACAGTCCGGCTCTGAGGAAGCGGTCCCCCCGACAGGATGCTCTGTCATTCATTTCTTCCCCTTCATGTCCCGGCAGTTAGACCTTTACTTCTAAACACACTGAGGTGAAGCCGGCCCTCCCCAGCCCGAGGGGAGATTAATGTTGCTGTTTTTTTCACTTGATTCTAATTTTGTACATTTGTAAAATATATATAAATTGAAATGGAAACTCAATAATTTTTATCTACAAAGCATGTGAAAGATTTCTTGTATTATATTACACTGTATTAGATAGGACTTCAAGAGGAAATGGAGATAATACTCTTAGAAGACATAGTCACACAAGGTTAAACCTGCAGCTTTTTTCCTATTGGACACCTATTATATTTAATACAGTGCTAAATATATTTCATACATTGACTCCTCATAGAACTGGAGTGATTTAGATATTATTACTATTGTGTTCTGTCTCACATCCTCCTTTACTCGTCCTCCCATCAATAAAGCGGGCACCATAGTAATACCTACTCATGAGCTTGCAGCATAAAAAGAGATGATGCTTTTGAAGTGGTTATAGCAAACTATGGATTCATTTCCCTGACAATCTTGACAGACAGAACAAAAACTACCAAAAAATGATTCTGATAATGTCATTGCCTTGACCAAAAACATCTAATGATGCTATCTACTATAGTCTGTAAGTTGACACTTTTCTTGTCTTGCCTCCTACCACTCACCTGAGAAACCTTCTGCATCTCAAAAATAGTTCCCTCACTTTCTCCTATTAACTTCACCTCTTCTTACTTCCTTGCACTTTATATAGAGCAACTTCGTATGTTTTAAGTGACTTCTCTCCTCCTTTCTCCTAATTTGAATCCCATGTATCACACATTTACTGAGTGCTTATGTGCCAAGCACTCTTCTAAGATAGATTCACATTGATTCATTTAATTCTCCCTGCAACCTTATAAAACACTGCTATTTACTTCCCTCATTTTATAGATGAATAACCTAAAGCACAGAGAAGTCAGCTATTTTCCAGAGATCACAGAGCTAGTAAGTGGCAGACCCAGGATTTGAACTGGATCA